TTATTTTCATGGTTGAGAAAAAAACTTAACTTACACAAACATGAGTAAATTGAAAAATGACAATGTTAATTGTTGAATTTAGGTACAGAATATATGGATGTTCCCTGTGTTCATCAGAACTCTTCATTCAAATTCTCTTTACATGAACAATGTTTCATAATAAAAAAAACACCTAAAACTTAATAAAATTAAAAGGGGCCTACATGGTACCCAGAATAGGCTCCTGAAACAGAAAAATTACATTGATGGAAAAGCTGGTGAAATATGGATAAAGTCTGTGCATAGTTCTTATTATTGTACTAATGTTAATTTCCTAGTAAATGTACCATGGTTATATCACCTGGATGAAGGGAACTCCCTGTCCTATCTTTGCAAATTTTTTGTAAATCTAAAATTATTCCAAAATAAAAAGTGTTTAAAAAGGGGCAAACTGTATGTAAAAGCTAAAAGTTTTTATTGTATTAAAATATGCATATAATCAAACAATATCAAGATCTAACATCTAGAACAATGACCTTCCACAAACCTCTAGTTTGGTACAAAAGGACTCCAAACTTTTTATAAGTTTCCATTGGACCATGTTTGGGACAAAAGGGATGGCCATTTGTACCCATTGTTTGGACATCAGTGCTGCAGGCCAGATAGGGGCCTTGATCCTTGGAGGAGGGTGAAACCGTGTTGGGGTAGCAGCCACCGTGTTTTCCTAGCTCAGCAGAGCTCTCCTTACTCCAGCAAAGGCATGGGTTGAAGTGTCTGCTTGCGCAGTACCAACTGCGAAAGACCTGTGAAGAGGTGGGACACAGCAGTGTCAATTTACATCCTTTCCCTGGTTCACCAAGCCCCCAGTCATATCCACCTTTGCAGGCAGAATCTGATTAACCAAGCTATAGCATTAGCAGACAGTTATGCAATTCTTGGAGGTTCTGAAAGATTTTCATTCATACTATCTCATTCAATCCTAGTTTCAGCCCTCATTTTACAAAGGAGGAATATGGGACACCTAGGCCCGCCCTCACCTTCACTGAGTTCTGAGCACCTCATGGAGGGCCTCTATCAGCAGGAGAGCCCAGCACCTCTCTCCTTCAGGCACCCAAATACTTGACATTCTCCAAGCCCAGCTCTTTTGCTAGGACTCCATGGCACTACCCTGGCTCCATGTGAACCACAACCACCCCAACCTTTGAACTTCTACAGCCCTTACTTAAACTGATGAATCAGAACAAGTAAGGGATGTGAAAACGCTTTTGGCCATTTGTCAAAGGGAGGCTCGTGGATGGAAGGATGTGGTTGAAATCAAAGCAAAAATATGTGATTTGTTGAAAGCAATAACAATTTGATAAGGCTTATGTGCTGCTAGGACTGTGTGATGGTTAAGAGCATGGAATGTGGTGTCACATGGCTGGTGTGCAATCTCAACTCCACAAGGTACCACTGAGTGGCCTTGGGCCGATTAATCACCCTCTGGACAATAGGTGACTCATGTAGCAGATGCAGATAATCTCAGTACCTAGCTCAGGGTTGAGGACTAAATGAAATTATCTCAATGCCTGTCACCTAATGAGAACTCAATACATGGGAACTATTATGGTTAGCCCTTGTATAGTGTGCTTCAGGTTTTCATTTTTGTTGTTTTAAAAAAGTTTACTCCAACTATTAGTCCTGGAATTTGGAGCTGAGAGGGTCCTTAGAAGCCATGGAGAGCCAGCTAAGGGGTGAGGAAAGTTCTCAAAATTTCCTAAAAATTTGGTCTGTCAGATGACAACCTCAAAATTAGACATTTTACCTGGGTCCCCAGGAGCACAGGAGTCACTGACCTGTATCTGTCTTGCCATCATTTTATAAATGTATATCGTTTATATGACAATGACACAATATATATCCATTGGAAGCATGTTTGACTAAAAATTTAAGGATTAAAACTTTAAAAGGGCAAAAGGTATCATTAAAAATGTTTCCTGCATGAAGAACAGAAAGACGAAAGTCCACTTTCCCAACAGCGAGGGCTTCACTCAAAGCTCAAACAGAATTCGAGTGAACTAAGAGGAACTCAGGGCAGTGGCTTTTTCTAGGCTCAGTAAGCCCGAATGACGAGAAATGAAGTCAGCAAAATCCTGTGGGGCTGCCTCCACCCTAGGCCAGAGCGCATCTCGGCTCCTACCCACTGCTTCGGCAGACTAGTCAAAGCAGGTCTGCCCCAGTGCCCTGATGGCTTTGGGGGCATGTGGAAGCCTCTAACCTCATCATTCCCAGCCATACAGGGGGAAAGGAGAAGATGAGAGCTGGCCAGGTCTGCACCGGCAAGAAGACAGAGAAAAGGCCTCTGCTGCTGTGCAGGCTCCAAGCCAGGGCTGGGTATCAATCAGCTGGTACTAAAATAAGGCATATCACATCTCTGTCCTCCTGCCCAGCAGGGGAGGGACCGTGTGCCTCTCTGAGCCAAGCAGAAACAAGGTACACACCTCCAAATGGCATCAGGGAGGCACAAGAACACGATTAAACAACATTCAACTTCATCAGAAGATACTCCCTTTGCCAACCTCCTGCAATCCCTCTGTATAGTCAAGAAAAGAGTTTCTAGTAGTGTTGGTATCCCACTAATGACCCCTTGACCCTTAGTAATCCCCTTTCTTGACCAGAAGGAGAACAGTTCTTAAGCTTAAAGACTGAAACAGGCAACAGTATGTGGCAGGAGTCTAGTAATGCTCTTTTCTGTTCTTTTTTTATAGTTACTTTCTATTTTACAGTTGACAATGATATCCATTTATGGTAGAGATACAACATTTCCCTTTTTTAAAAAGGGGAGAGAGAAAACGACTAAGTAATAATAGATTTTTTATATGGCAAAAACACAACACACTTTACTACTTATTGCTACAGCTCTTTAATACTTCCAATAACCTTGAACTGTGCAGTTCATTACAGTAGCCACTGGCCACATGTGACTACATGTAATTACTATGTGACTGTAGTCATTTAAATTAATTAAAATTAAAAGTAGAGCCGTTTTGCAGTACTTACTGAATACATACCTACCCTATGGTCTACCAATCCCACTACTAGGTGTCTACGCAAGAAAAATGCAAATATACCCCCACAAAGAACTTGTATAAGCAATCTTAAAACGCCAAGTCTAACAGAGGGAATGCACAAACAGGCTGTGGCATATCCATACAATGAACTCCTGCCAAAAAGGAACAATCCATGGGCTCATGCAACGATATGGGTGAACCTCAAAAACATTCTAGAAGCAAAAGAAACTAGTCTCAACAAAATATATACTGCATAATTCCATTTTTTTTAAAGGCTGTATGTTCAAGATTTTTTTCTTTAACTATTAAAAGAGGAAACCAGTAGGTGTTGCAACCAGTTAAAAGAACAATCCAAAATCACATTTTTAGACCAGAAATACTGAAATGAATGTACAGAATCAAAGCAAAACTGGATTCTTCTACATTGGAGAAGGGAAACCAATAGACACCCCACTGTAAATAATTTATTTGCATGTCTATAAAAATTATTTTTAATTTTTTTAACATGAGGTTAATTGATATATATCAATTATATAATATTATAATGTATACGACATGATTTAATATTTGTATATATTATGAAATGAAAACAATATGTCTCTATGATTCCATCTATATAAACTATAAGAACAGACAATACTAAGGTGCTAGAAGTCAAAAAGAGTTAGGGGAGGGAGAGCAGAGTGCCTGGAATGGTCTGAAGAGATGTAAATGCTTGCACCTCATTTTAGATGCCAGTTACATGGGTCTGTACAATTTTTAAAACTCATTAAAATGAACATTTAAGATGTTATGTTTCAATTAAAAGAGGAGAAGTTTTAATCTAATATTTGAATCAGACAAGAATCATCAATGGACACGAAACAATTAGGTAAAAGTTGTTGGCTAGTAGGATATTTGCTTCATGACAAAGCATCAAGCTTCAACGAAAAAACTACTTGCTCTAAGGCAGTCACCACCATACCCAAGTGACCAAACACAGCAGCATCCCCCACAGGACAACTATTAGGTGCCTTCTGATATAATACAATATGAAACAGCACCACCTATGAAAATACTCTTGCCAGAAATGTATGCCAGAATCCAGATCAACCTTTCAGGATACAGAAACTACAGGGAACAGAAGAACAGTTAAGTGACACCACGAGGAAACAATCAGAGAAATTCAGAATGTAGGATATTCTACAAGACAGACAAGTAGCTCAGACTCGAAGTCAGTATCACTAGGGAAAAAAAAAAAGTAGGAAGACTGTTCTAGATTAAAAGAAACTAAAGACACCTAACAACCAAATGCAATGCACAAATCTTACTTAAACCCTGGTTTTAAAAAAAGCCCACCAAAGCATTCTTGGGACAGCTGGGAAATTCAACTATGGGAACCAGACATTAGATATTATAGAATACTAACTTCTAAGTTATGGTAACACTATCATTCATATGAGAATGTCCTTATTCTTAGGAGAGGCATGTTAAAGTATGCCTCTCATTTAATGGTATTTTGATATCTCATTTAAATGTGAGATATCAAGCTCTGCAAATTATTTTCATGGTTGAGAAAAAAACTTAACTTACACAAACATGAGTAAATTGAAAAATGACAATGTTAATTGTTGAATTTAGGTACAGAATATATGGATGTTCCCTGTGTTCATCAGAACTCTTCATTCAAATTCTCTTTACATGAACAATGTTTCATAATAAAAAAAACACCTAAAACTTAATAAAATTAAAAGGGGCCTACATGGTACCCAGAATAGGCTCCTGAAACAGAAAAATTACATTGATGGAAAAGCTGGTGAAATATGGATAAAGTCTGTGCATAGTTCTTATTATTGTACTAATGTTAATTTCCTAGTAAATGTACCATGGTTATATCACCTGGATGAAGGGAACTCCCTGTCCTATCTTTGCAAATTTTTTGTAAATCTAAAATTATTCCAAAATAAAAAGTGTTTAAAAAGGGGCAAACTGTATGTAAAAGCTAAAAGTTTTTATTGTATTAAAATATGCATATAATCAAACAATATCAAGATCTAACATCTAGAACAATGACCTTCCACAAACCTCTAGTTTGGTACAAAAGGACTCCAAACTTTTTATAAGTTTCCATTGGACCATGTTTGGGACAAAAGGGATGGCCATTTGTACCCATTGTTTGGACATCAGTGCTGCAGGCCAGATAGGGGCCTTGATCCTTGGAGGAGGGTGAAACCGTGTTGGGGTAGCAGCCACCGTGTTTTCCTAGCTCAGCAGAGCTCTCCTTACTCCAGCAAAGGCATGGGTTGAAGTGTCTGCTTGCGCAGTACCAACTGCGAAAGACCTGTGAAGAGGTGGGACACAGCAGTGTCAATTTACATCCTTTCCCTGGTTCACCAAGCCCCCAGTCATATCCACCTTTGCAGGCAGAATCTGATTAACCAAGCTATAGCATTAGCAGACAGTTATGCAATTCTTGGAGGTTCTGAAAGATTTTCATTCATACTATCTCATTCAATCCTAGTTTCAGCCCTCATTTTACAAAGGAGGAATATGGGACACCTAGGCCCGCCCTCACCTTCACTGAGTTCTGAGCACCTCATGGAGGGCCTCTATCAGCAGGAGAGCCCAGCACCTCTCTCCTTCAGGCACCCAAATACTTGACATTCTCCAAGCCCAGCTCTTTTGCTAGGACTCCATGGCACTACCCTGGCTCCATGTGAACCACAACCACCCCAACCTTTGAACTTCTACAGCCCTTACTTAAACTGATGAATCAGAACAAGTAAGGGATGTGAAAACGCTTTTGGCCATTTGTCAAAGGGAGGCTCGTGGATGGAAGGATGTGGTTGAAATCAAAGCAAAAATATGTGATTTGTTGAAAGCAATAACAATTTGATAAGGCTTATGTGCTGCTAGGACTGTGTGATGGTTAAGAGCATGGAATGTGGTGTCACATGGCTGGTGTGCAATCTCAACTCCACAAGGTACCACTGAGTGGCCTTGGGCCGATTAATCACCCTCTGGACAATAGGTGACTCATGTAGCAGATGCAGATAATCTCAGTACCTAGCTCAGGGTTGAGGACTAAATGAAATTATCTCAATGCCTGTCACCTAATGAGAACTCAATACATGGGAACTATTATGGTTAGCCCTTGTATAGTGTGCTTCAGGTTTTCATTTTTGTTGTTTTAAAAAAGTTTACTCCAACTATTAGTCCTGGAATTTGGAGCTGAGAGGGTCCTTAGAAGCCATGGAGAGCCAGCTAAGGGGTGAGGAAAGTTCTCAAAATTTCCTAAAAATTTGGTCTGTCAGATGACAACCTCAAAATTAGACATTTTACCTGGGTCCCCAGGAGCACAGGAGTCACTGACCTGTATCTGTCTTGCCATCATTTTATAAATGTATATCGTTTATATGACAATGACACAATATATATCCATTGGAAGCATGTTTGACTAAAAATTTAAGGATTAAAACTTTAAAAGGGCAAAAGGTATCATTAAAAATGTTTCCTGCATGAAGAACAGAAAGACGAAAGTCCACTTTCCCAACAGCGAGGGCTTCACTCAAAGCTCAAACAGAATTCGAGTGAACTAAGAGGAACTCAGGGCAGTGGCTTTTTCTAGGCTCAGTAAGCCCGAATGACGAGAAATGAAGTCAGCAAAATCCTGTGGGGCTGCCTCCACCCTAGGCCAGAGCGCATCTCGGCTCCTACCCACTGCTTCGGCAGACTAGTCAAAGCAGGTCTGCCCCAGTGCCCTGATGGCTTTGGGGGCATGTGGAAGCCTCTAACCTCATCATTCCCAGCCATACAGGGGGAAAGGAGAAGATGAGAGCTGGCCAGGTCTGCACCGGCAAGAAGACAGAGAAAAGGCCTCTGCTGCTGTGCAGGCTCCAAGCCAGGGCTGGGTATCAATCAGCTGGTACTAAAATAAGGCATATCACATCTCTGTCCTCCTGCCCAGCAGGGGAGGGACCGTGTGCCTCTCTGAGCCAAGCAGAAACAAGGTACACACCTCCAAATGGCATCAGGGAGGCACAAGAACACGATTAAACAACATTCAACTTCATCAGAAGATACTCCCTTTGCCAACCTCCTGCAATCCCTCTGTATAGTCAAGAAAAGAGTTTCTAGTAGTGTTGGTATCCCACTAATGACCCCTTGACCCTTAGTAATCCCCTTTCTTGACCAGAAGGAGAACAGTTCTTAAGCTTAAAGACTGAAACAGGCAACAGTATGTGGCAGGAGTCTAGTAATGCTCTTTTCTGTTCTTTTTTTATAGTTACTTTCTATTTTACAGTTGACAATGATATCCATTTATGGTAGAGATACAACATTTCCCTTTTTTAAAAAGGGGAGAGAGAAAACGACTAAGTAATAATAGATTTTTTATATGGCAAAAACACAACACACTTTACTACTTATTGCTACAGCTCTTTAATACTTCCAATAACCTTGAACTGTGCAGTTCATTACAGTAGCCACTGGCCACATGTGACTACATGTAATTACTATGTGACTGTAGTCATTTAAATTAATTAAAATTAAATTGAAAATTCAGTTCCTTGGTCATATTAGCCCCATTTCAAGTGCTGAACAGCCACAAGTGGCTAACAGCTACCATATTATAAAACACAGCTATAGGACATTTCCTCTCTTGCAGAAAGTTCCACAGGGCAGCATTAGCCTAGAATGCCACTGCCAGCTCACCTGGCTACTCACCTGGTGGTGGTGCTAAAAGACCTGGTTTCTCCCCAAGTAGTGGACGCTTGGCAGGCTTGGGAGGGGGGCATCCCAAAGGAGCAGGCCTCTTGGAAGGGGCTGCCAGTAGTGGAGGGGGAAAGAGAACTTTGGGGTTGACCAATCCTGCAGAGAACAAAAACCAAAACATAAACAGTAATACATATGTTGAACTGGGTTCCAGGTGCTCTCCCCAAAGGGACCTTTCCTAATCTTACGAAGGGGCTGAGCAGGGAGCCCCTGCCACATACACCAAGTCCAAACTCATCTCCTCAAAGCTCTACAGTCCTCTGTAGACCTATACTGCCTCAGTGGTCCTCCAGGGGTCAGCAAACTATAGTCTGGTGCTCAAATTCAACCTGTTGTGTTTTGGTATGGCCCAAGTGAACTAAGAATGGTTACATTTTAAATGTTTATATACATATGTACATAATATCCTTGATTTTGCTTCCTGGCCCACAAAGCCTAAAATAAAGTATTTACTATCTGGTCCTTTAAGAAGTTTGCAATCCCTTGGTCTGTTCTAACATCCTGGTCTACCACCCTTACCTTCTCCAAGTGGGTTTTTTGCTTAAAATGTCATGTTCTGACACTTAGAACACATTTTCTCAAACATCCAAGGCAATGGGGCTCCCAGTGCTTAAAAGTGGGGACCTTCAGGGCAAAAAGGCGGACCCCTAACATACCGGAAGCACTCTGTTTCTGAGAGCCTAACATGCTCCCACCTAGAGCACTGGCCTGGACACAGCCCACAGAGCTCTGACCCACAGCCTAGCACTCTGTCGCTTCTCTCTTGGGCAGTCAGTCTGCCTGCACAAGCTTCATCCTGATGAACGGGACACTTTCTCAGTTAGTGCCAAGGTCCTGAAGAAAATGCACTGAGCCCATTTTGAAAGTCTGAAAGAATTTTGTTTTTAAACTAACAGCAAGGATGAGAAGCAATTCAGAGCAAAAAGATTTTTTTCCCGAGTGCTTCTCGCCTTAATTCAGTCACTTCTTGCAGGGAAGACTAGGTGGCAAGAAGGGGCCTGTGGGTGACCCAGGAAGGGAGTGGGTTGAGGCCCACAGAAATGGGTGAGCACTGCTGAAGGAAGGGAGGGAGGGAGCAAAGACATGGCAGCAAGAAAGCACAGGTGCGATGAAACAGAGAAGATGCAGAACTGCACTCTCACTCATCCCAAGGCTGTGGATCTTTAACACAGACTGCCCTTGCCAGTAAAAGGCATGTATACGTATAGCCACCAAAGCAAGAGAGCACATTCCCTCTACTTTGATCCAAAGTAACAGTCAATGTGGAAATCTTTCATAGGGAATATTTTTGGCTAAAATAATCCCTGTTCACTTAAGAGGCCAAAGCAATATTTGACTATTATGCACAAATGCACCCCCAGGTCCAAATTTTATTTAAGGCCCAGGTGAAAAGCCACCTTTCCACAAAGACTTCACTGACAACCTTCTTTTTAACATGGCAGACTGAAAATGTGCTCTCATCCAGTTCCTTCTCTCCTCCCACTGCCAATCCAAACAGCACAGGAGAGGAGACAAGAGTATATGAACAGACACTTGGAAGATGAGGAACAGAGAGAAGAGCACTAAGTGGAGGAAGCCACTCCTAGGGGTCTACAGGGGTTAAAACTCTCTACCCTCCAGGGCAAGAAAGGCTCAGACACTGGCATACCAAGAATCATACAGTAGGGCACGGAGCTGACTGGAAGTCTGTACACATGTGGTTAGATCCACCCAGGTCTCCTCCCAAAGGTATAAGATGGATGTCTGATAACACCTCTTGAGGGGCAGGATCGGTGAGGCCTTGAAGTTAGTCAACTCTGGGCATTTTCAGCTATGCAAGCCAACTAAGTCTCCCTCTTGTTTTAAGTGAACTGAGTTGGGTTCCTGTCACTTACAATGGAAGAAGTCCACAATAATACAACCTCATTTTAGGCAGATGTCAGATACTATTTGGCACCAACTACCCAGAAAAGAAGCCTCAAAAACCCTACTGAATTCAGAGTGCTTATCATGAGAACTCAGTTCTCCCTGTATGAAAACTTGGGCAACTCATTCAAGAGGAATGGCACCCATTGAAACCCCAAGTGTCTCTCCTGGTCTTCTGAAATCTTAACATTCAAAAATATGACAACACCCTGCAATTGCTCAAAACTGTCCTGCTATCTCAGGAGAATTCTGGTGGAAGCAGAACTGCTACTCCTTTATCTTATTCCTTGAGGGAAACACTGACCTGGCAGTGGAAGGAGACCTCCAGGCCTATCACCTAGCAAAGGGGCCTTGACAGGAACTGGGGGATGAGGGCCTGGGAAGGACCTCTTTCCAGGGGTTGGAAGAAGTGGAGGTGGCTTAACCACCATGGGGGTATTCCTGCCTTGAAATGAGGAATGATGACTAGCAACCAAAGGACCTGGCATCTCAAAGCCTGAAAAATAAAGAAAACAAATGGTGAGCAGAAGCCTAGTCTAGATGCCAGCAAGCTGTACAAAGAACAACTCAGAGAATTCAAGGAAGATCTTCACTTTTTCTGACTTAAAATTTTCTATAATCAAAGAGAAATAGTTGTGTTTAACTAGACTTATTGTGGTCATCATTACACAGTATATACAAGTATCAGATCATTATGCTGTATACCTGAAATAATATAATGTGGTATATCTCAATTATAAATAAATAAGTTATTAAGCACTTGGGGAAACAAAGGAAACAACACTGTTATGTTTTAAGTTTATGGATTCCCCTCTAAGATAAATAATTTCTTTAAAGCTTTAAAATGGTCCTATAACTTCAGCTATTTTTTTCCTATGAGACAAATTATTATTTTCTTCTCATCTACTTAACTTAAAACAAGCAAACCAAAAAGTAACTAAGGAGTTTGGCTTGTAAGCTGGAATGCTCTTTAAAATCTTCAAGATTTAGGAACTGCTTCTTCACATTTCCCGTACTTAAAAGTAACCTTAAAAATGTCTCAACTAACAAAAATCTGAAACTTAAAAATCAGAAAAGTAAAATGATAGTGAACTGTAACTATTCCTACATGTCCGTCTATGTAGAGAAGTCATCTTAACTATATGTTAAAAGTCTGATTCAAAAGACAATTTAGCTTCAGAAGAAACATTTTAATCTATAAAGGTTAAACATTAAAATACTGTATTCCTATCTGAGATGTGTCCAAACCAGATACCCTTATATTACAGAAGTATGTTCTCTCAACTAAATGAAAAATCCTTAGTTTTCCTTCACACATAGATTTGCAGAAAGGGGCTTTCTGGGGCTTAAAATGGGGAAGAAAAGGAATGGTGCCAAATACCTCCCAGTAGTCCTTTCCTGGTCTTCAAGTAGTCCATGAGCAGGTCCAACTCATTCCTGAACAAATGCTTTCCCTCATTCAAAAGGAAGAGAAGATGCCGAATGCCCAAAGGGACAGAGTAGCTGGTAAGACACTCTCGGGCTAGGAAGTCATCTACCAGATTTCCAGCCCTCACAGAAATTCCAGCGTGTTCCTGCTGCTCCCATTTAGAGGAAAATCTCCTATGTTCTTTAGTCACCAGCACTAGGGCATCATCCAGGGGCATATGACAACGTACTAGGGACAAGAAACAGCCTGTTTACAACAAATGGGTGCTCTGCTTCCTTTTAAAACACATTTACAAAAAGAGAAGAGGAAAAAACAACAAGAAAGTAACAGCCAATCTAACTACATGTTGGGTAGACTGTCTCAGCCTTCAGTACAGATGGGACTGTTTACTGATTCAAAAGACTGGAACCCCCAATGGTAGGTGCTCTGTCAAACTTCAAAATCAAACATTACATTCCATTTCAAAATTATAACATGTGGTAGCTTGATTTACTGTTTCCACACAAACCCTCATTTTGCAATTGGACAGCTTCATGCTAAGCTGACGAGAAACAGAAGAAATATGTGGCATATGTGTCAATGGAAATTCTTACAACTAAATAAACATAGCTTTAAAAAAGTCAGAATGCAACTTCAACCATCACTGAGTCAAACAACAAAACAAAACTCAGAAAGTCAAACAACAAAACAAAACAAACTAAAGGTGAAGATGTTTTATTTGGTTCCAGCAATCAGGGTAAGCAACTTGAGATGAGCCTGACTGATGGAAGAAACCACCAGGAGCTGAGAAGGCATCTTTCAGAGAGCAGAGGGAAGGTGAGAAAAGAGTGAAGCAGGGGCTGCTGTTCTTCACTGCACATCTCTCAGTGTCTATCTTGTAACTTGGTGTATGCCATACCTGAATAAAAGGCAAACAGACACATGCGATGCATGGTGTCCAGGCTCTGTCACTGCTGCATGAGGAGTAACCCACATCCTCCATGTGACTCTGCAGTCTTTGACTCAGGCCTATGGGACCTTAAACCATGTTAAAAGCCTCCTCAAATCAGATAAAGAGTGCTCTAGATCCCAAATATTACATATAAAATAAATTCTAGATATCAAGAGCAGCTTTTACATAATTTAATGGGTATTGTCAAATGCACAGGTGTTTTCTGATCTCTCCTAGGTTTATCTACTGAGAATAAAAGTTAATAAAAGTTTGATTTTAGATGGAAGGCCCCTATCCTGTCTTGCTCTGTATGTTCTATATATTAGCTTCTGAACCAATTTATGATCCATGGAGCACTACTACAGGGCTACAGTAGGGATTACAGTATTTGGCTAACTCTTAAACTATGTTTATTAAGATTACATTTAGGAAGAAATATGAATACATGTATATCTTCAGGTGCTAAAGTTTCACCGTTTGACTATTTTAAATGTTTGCCTCTGCAATGTAGCTCCACATGCTTCTAAACAAAGGTTGCATGCAAGGTATAAAACAATCTCTTGGCTATAAAGTACTGTGAAAGAGAGCCCAGCTAAGACAAATTTTGCTAAAATAGATTTAACTTATAGGAAAAAACAAAGTGTTCTTTTTACTTATGATCTGAGTTCAGGGATGGGAAATGAAGTATGTACCTATTAATATTATTCTGGATGTGAGAAAGAAATTGTCTTCTGATTTGTAACATGTGAAAAACAGATTATATGCTTTTTTGAAGTAGTGCTGATTTTTAAAGGTATTTTAATATTCAATAAATCTTTCAACTTACTTAGTTTAGTGACCATTTCCTAAGTGATCCTGCATGAATGAAAACATCTAAGTAACCAGATATGATTAGTCCTCTGCATGATCTGTTCAAATTATACTGTTCCCCACCCTGATCCTAGGTGATTGGTATTTGTAATTTTTATGCACATTCTTTTACATTTTCAGAACTTATGTATGACATAAATGTGGTTTAATCTTATTATTTAAAATGAATTAGAAATTTTCTATGCCTAGAAAAACAGCAGTTTCATACTCTTGAGAACAGTTCTAAGCAAGATTTGGTCAGGAGGGTGTGGGTGACCTCACAGAAGCAAAGCAAACGGGATGGTTGGAATAAAAGATGTCCTGCCACTCCCAGGAGGATGAAAAGCAAGTGTTCTTCACTAATTGTCTTTTCAGACCCAGTATCTTGGGTGGATAACAGAGCAATCTATCCTACACTAACTTCTATGCAGGCTCCAGAGCTGTAGGTGGAATTAAGTCCAGCTACTAGTGTTCTTTAAGGTCTCTGCCCAAGGAAACAGTAGCTCTCTTCTGACTTAGCAATGGAAACCCTCACTGCTGAGGAGACTCAGGCTGAGACGGGCACTCCGGGGCGTACTGGAGAAGCCCGCCTCCCGCCTGGCTGTGGCTCACCCGGGCAGAGAAAGGTAGCAGGGACAGCCTGCCATGTTGTACAGGGCCAGCACACAGGAGGAATTCAGTATGACTGTATTGAATAGAACAGTACCAAGATCTCCTGCAAAGACAAGAGGACCAGAACACCTACACTTATCTAGGTATAATTCTCAGTGAGTTGCTTGGGGAGCCCTCCACATGGCACTGCCCGCCCCACTGAAGCAGCAGCTCTGACCAGGAGGGAGATGAGGATGTGCAGCTACCCAAGTCTGTGTATTTTGGGGAGGGAAAGAGAGTTCATTTTTGTGCACTCTGGTGAGTGTAATAAGGAAATGCTTGTGATACCTTAAAATAGGCAAATTTAGCAAGAGAGCTGGTCTGTGGGCATGCCAGAGATGACTAGAGTCTTTTAGACTTACCATTAAGGGTAGAAAAGATGGTGGTTCTATACAGGAAAACTGAATTGGTTATATAATATTTTAGAAGAGGTGTTTTGGATTCTTAAGAAGCAATGAAGACAATTTAAGTTTCAATGATCTCTAAAACACAGGAGAATACTTCATAATACCTATTCAAGTCATTTTTCCTCAACTATATCCAGTTTAGTTACTGACCAAGGTGAACCTTCACAGTGTGCCAGCATACAAAGAAAAAATATTACATTTTTAAAGCAGGATCTATTCGAAGTGATAGTTCTAGATTGAGCTAAACTTACTTTTGATAGACTCATGAAGCACAATTAGAGTACAAGAGTAAAGGTTTACATTAGACTGTTCAACAAGAATACAAAATGGGGATCCATCATCTTTAACTTCCTGGAGTGCTCGTGACAGACCCGACACAGTGGTAAGGTGAATCATTTCCACCACGAGGCCATGATCCTGCAACCGATGACCTATGGCTATTGCATATTCCCTTAAAAAAACACACACATATAAGAAAAAGGTCGGTTACTTTCAATCAAACAAAAGTAGGAGAACCTATATCAGTAAGCAGTTGTTCCATAGGTACTCTGATGCACCACACATTTAAGTAAGTGAGGGCTGAGAGACTGTATTTTTACTGTATTTAAGTAAGTGAGGTGGAAAATACCATATTCGTTAAAAAAACATGCATGCCCTACAACATGCTTTCACTCTTAGATATCCTAAAAACATTCAGGAGTATTTTATCTGTCTGATGGAATCAGTTAAGAGAACAGGTGGCAACTCTGACCAAAAGGAAACTCACTTTTTCAAAAACTTAGCCCTCATATGACTATGTTTGTAATTTCATAAAGAAAGCAGAGTGTGTCAAAGCCATGTTTTTGTGTGGCATGATACAATGGGTAAGCATCATGAATGTGGCCAGCATTTATCAAAATGGAATCACTCGTGTTATTTGATGATGTCATTTCAATTTAAAGACCATGAAAGAAAATGTAAGACTGTTTTAAAGAACAAATGAAACTACTATCTTCAGAAAAATGAGAAAATGCCCATTTACAATTAGTTGCTGAGATAGACCAATGCTTGTTGAGTTCATTACCTCTGAGACAATTCCTTTGTTAAGAGTAAATGGGTGATACTGGAGTTAAACATCTCAGTCCTGTAACTAAGCTTGGATCAAAACCCAGAGTCATCACATCTCCTATTTTCTTAGCCTCAGTCCTCAAGTCCCAGAAACTCTGTCCCAGATCTCTCCCTTGGGCTTATGCTTCCATTCCTGCCTACTACTTGCTTAGAAACCTACAAAGGCCTCCTACCTATCTTCTGTCCTCAGTTTCTTTTCCCAGTCCAACCCATCCTACACTCCAGTCTCTGCATGACCTTGTTCCAAGTGCAGCTTTCAAAAAAGCTACAGGCCCTACTCAGCACCCTAAACTTATCCTAGCTTTCAAAGTCCTGGCAAGACCTGGCTCCAATGGATCTTACTAGGTTTTGGAAACTCCTGAACTTCAAACATCCTATTGCTTGTTATCTCTAGATAGTCAACTCTCTGCACACTTCTTCCAACTGTGCCTTCCCTGCCTTTCTGTTTGCAGTCCTCACCTCAGAGGCCCAGCTCAAATGACATGATCCCGTGGAACCTCCTTGATTCACCTCATTGGACTTTGGTGGCCTACTCTTCGTCCTATGGCTACTCTGCTTAGAGCAGGAACAACTCTTAGCATATTCCATCTTCCACTTGTTATTTATGCATAGGTTTTATCTTATTAGTCTGCATGTGGTACAAACAGGAATTGTTCCTTAATTACCTTTATGTTTCTCAGTGTGTCTAGCAGAGCTTTATATATATGACAGGTACATATTAAATGTATGTTTTGTGAATTAAAAATTAATATGATAGCAGGAAAAATGCTTTTCTGGCAGTTCAGGAGAGTATGGATGACTTCAGAAAATAAATTCAAGAGGAAAACAAGATAACCAAGACATGATTTCCATTTACAGAGTGAGAGCCCATGAGTCAAAACAGTCACAATAATAATTCACATTGGAGGATATGATTTGCAAATTAATTACTGTTTCCGAGTATAAAGGATTGAATTAGCCAACTTATATATATCACTACAAATCTTTCCAACATCAAAGTGGCAGCAGAACAAGCAGCATGGCCTAGTTCACAGATTTCCTGGCAGAGGCAGACTACACATGGCAGAGGGGTTCCTAAACTACATCCACCAAGGGTCCCAATCCATGGCTAAATGCCAGAACTGTGTGCCAGACAGAGGCTGGGTAACGTCTGAGGAGCAATTTCTGAACACCACTCCAGATGGAGGGGGAGAAGAAAAGCAATCTCCAGTACTCTTCTCTACCAAAAAACACTGCACTCAAATTAATACCAGTCTGCCTGGCTCTGGAGATGTGAAAGGGTCAAAAATATCAGGGTTGTGGAAGATGAATTGCAGCTGGAGTCAGTCACAGTTCTAAAAGAAGTACAAGATGCTACAGGTCACATGTGATGCTTGCTGCAAGTTTTGAGAAAGCCAATCTAGTCAAAGATGAAAGTAGTCTCCCTGGTTGATGCAGAATATTGTACTAAAGTTGTTAAATGCTGAGGAAAAACAAAGCTACCATGCATGCTGAGTCTTTATTGCCTCTGGGTTCAAAACTGGTTTGAGCTATACTACCTGATCAAATAGTTCAGGGCATGTCTGAATTGAATTGTCTTTCAATTATTAAAAGAGATCCCATGATTTTCAAATGTAAAAGGAGTTGGCCTCTGCCATCCTCCCTGTGCTATGACTCCAAGTAAGAAGGAGTTACAATTCTGTTTTCACAAACTTGGAGTGAAGATGTTATCTACAAATAAAATAAACTTCTATATATAAAATAGATACCACAGAATAGAAATTCTGAGCCACTTTAAGATTGCATTTAAGATAAAGTGAGAAGTCCAATGCTGCCTTAAGATAAGCTATGTTTTGTGTATGCCTTGTCTCCTGTTCAGTATTCATCAGTTCTGATCACGTCCAGGTCTCTAGTAGCACTGACTCAGTACCCAGCCCAGAGTCAGTGCGCATGCCTCCAACCAAACTTTTGTCTACATGCCAGGTTATCTGCCAAGCACTATGAAACCCAACATAACCCAGAAACACAGCAATCTTCACATATTAAGTCCCTGTCTGCCCTCAAGTGCCAGCCACTGGTATGTGAGTTCAGAGCACTACATGGACTCAGACAAGCTCAACACAGCCAAGAGGGCAGGAGCAGCAAGGAAGACTTCTGCAATTGTGCTTATGTGGCCCACGTGAGTTAGGCAGGTGGAGAAAGAGAAACAGGCATCCTGCATTAAAGAGAAAACAGCATAGACTGAAGGCTGAGAGGAATTCAGCAAGCAGTTAAGAGATGAGAGGAATCCTTCTCTGAAAGATCAGTCAGGCCAGCTTTACAGCATACTGTACTAAACTGTCAGTGCCCAAAGTAGGGGCTTGTCTGCTATGTGCACTAAAGTATTCCTAGAGCCTAGAATAGTGACTGGCACATGGAACCCAACCTTGAAAATAGCTTTGTTTTTGTTTTTTTTAATTATAAAATTGACAGGTGCTCATTGTAGAAAACTCAAGCAATACAGAAAAGCTAAATCAGACAGTAATCTTCAGAAAAGTCTCCCATCCATGGAATGCCCCTGCCATGAGTTAAATGGTAAACCCAAAAGTGTAATTCTTATAATTCATAAAGTAGTGTTCTAACAGAGCATTATGACGGTCTCAACTCTCAGTGACTTGTGTATGTAGGACTGAACACTTAATTATTCGGTTTGTACACAATCTCATTTGACACGCTAAAAAGAAATAAATCTACCTCTGTGCTTTGTCAGTAGAAACAATAATGCAATCTGAAGGCCTCTCTCGATCACGCTCTTTCTTAATCACTTGATAGAAGTGCTGGAAAAGCCCCTCTTTCCGCGCATCCCTGCTGCTGGTATCATCTGAAAAATATTGATGCATTCATGCTTTTGTAAGGCCTGAAGAATCACTAAAGGTTTTCAGGGTTTCTTACAAAACTGCAAATGAAAGACAGCACCTCTCTAAAGAAGAGACAAGGAAAATATAAATCTCAACAAGACTCTTACCTAACTCAAAATACTGGTATCGCTCATGGTTATCTTCATTCCCTTTTGAATAATCAGCCACATTCTGCAATAATTCTTTAATGCTGTTGAATGCATGAAAACATTATAGTTTGTGCAAATACAGTTTCTCTCCCGAAGGCAAAAAATAAATACCAGCTTACCTAGCACAATATATAGGCACCTAAAAATGTGGTGTGTCTACTTAGGAATAAAGTGGTGTTCAATAATCTGTTCTCATTTCAGAACTTTCTGAGTCTCTTCTCATTCCCATTCATTTCTTTCTTGCCTGTTATGATGAAAAATATATATGGAGCCACTGATCTTTGTCAAGTAAAACTCAGATATGGACAGAGAGAAATTCATAATTTAAGGTTTTTAATATGAGATAATTTTATCAGAAGTGTTCATCTTTTAGAGAAGGGGCATAAGGTCTTCACTGAATATGGGTTAAAAACTGAATCAACAAGATCTGCTCACTTTACTCCTAAACACTCTACTGCTCCTGTGAGCAAGCTATTTTCCCTTGCTAAAGGCGTGCAAAATAGTGCACAGATGCTGCTTAATCTATTAGCCATCTAAAGTAGTCCCATTTGCTGTGATTTAACAGAAGAAAGGGGGAATTAGATGCACTAGGTACCCTAAATCAGGCATTTTTACTGCGGCTCCCCAGCAGCCAGACACCAATGTTTCTGTCCACAAGGAATGTCCTGCCAGGAAGAGAACCACCTCAGCAGGCAGCAGTTGGCTGTTTTCTCACCAGAGGCATCATGCAGCATGACGAAATGGCCACAGAACATGCTCAGTCAAACCATTTGGCCATTATTCAGCAAGCTGCCAATAAGCACAGATCCCTTGCTCTGACTCTGTATAGTTTTCATTGAGGTTCCTGTCCACATCCAACCTCCTGACAGAGCAGGGACGTACCTCCAGACTTTTAGATGCAAAGCTTTTGCCTGAATTCGTGCCTTCCCTTCTGCCCTGAGAATCCTGAGCTGCACCTGCAAGTTTCTCTCACCCAAGCAGGCTGTCTCTTGTCTAATGTCTCTGACACACTGTCCATTTACTCCAGAGCTCATTCTTCAAGAGGCCAGCTTTCTCTAACCCTTGCTATACTGTGTCCTTGCTGGCTTTCCTTCAAAGGTTATACACTTTCTTTAAATGAAGTGGTGTGTAAACTCCCCCACTGACACCATGTAAGTAATTAGGGCGGGCTGGGAGGTGCCCCCAAAGCTGTACCTTTCACCCAGGAAAGGTACAGTCTGATGTTGAAATTGCAACTGCCTGTTTCTGAATCTCAGTTCTGTCACTAACTAACTGGGTAGGCCTGAATGAGTTATTTAATATCACATGCCTTAGCTTCCTCACCTGTAAAATGGGGATGTTCAGGGAACCTACCTTCAAACATTAATATGAGGATTAAATAAGTTAATAACAGGAAAGCCTTAGAACAGTGCCTGATGCAGAGCATGCCCTCAAGAGATGTAAGCCATTATGACCCATCTCTGCCTTTAGCTTTCTTTCAGACCAGGGCTAAGAAAATCTCATCTTCAGAAGATCACCTAACTATGCAAGCATTCTGTCTCATTTTCAGGAAATGTTACCTGAAAGAAACTAACCTCCATTAACAGTCACTCCTAAATTCTATACTTCCAAGTGCTTCTGCAGTTGAGGAAAGCATTTTTCAATTTTGAATTATTAATCCAATCTGACACAAATCTCATTTTTAATGCAGGCAAGAGAGAGGCCCTGTCAAGGTTCATACATATAAAAATCAATTCAAATACATTTCAAGGAAAACTGCTTTTACCCAAACTGCAGAGGTAGATCCAAGGCAAGAATCTTCAACTGCCGTGTTGATTTATCTACTGAGTTATACAGAAGAAAGCCTCTGCTGAATGTACAAGACAGCGTAAACTAAATATATAACCTTCAAAATTGATTTACATACTTTGGAATACTACACAGTGGCCAAAAACAATGACGATGAACAATCCTCCATGATATATCATTAAGTGAAAGAAGCAAGTTCCAGAACAATATACCAGTCTGAGCCATTTAACTTAAAAACAAGGAAAAAAACTTGAAGAATTCTGAAAACAGATTTTCACTTTTTATGATCAGATACTTTTACATTTATTTATTCATTCCTTGGGTAAAAAAAATACAACTTTCAAGTGACTGATACTTGCCTCTGGAATACTGACTTTTCTCATAATTAAATAAATTTGCATTTCTGAGCATATACCAGTGATTAGATGGTGGCACATAACAGTGAGGAGGTGAGGAGGAAAAGAGTCTAGGGCCTGCTACAGATAACCCACGAAGTGGGCTACCCATGTAGAGCTGACTGGGAAGGTCCACAAAGAAAAGGCCCTTCAGTCTGGAGAGCTGCTTTAGTTACAAGAGTCTAAATGACTATGGAACAGTAAAAGTTAAAGCACAATGACTTAATATGATCAAGTTGACCTGAGAGACTTCCCAAAAAGCAAATATTAATGACATCAATTTTAACAAACACATAAGTCTGCACAGTAAGAGCACATCTAAATTACTACTAAAGCTTTTAGCAAATTGAGCCAGAACAATAAAGTTTTACCTTTGCACGTCTTCACTCTCCTTTAAGTAGCCCTCTTGGGGAGAATATGTCGGCAGAAAATGTTTATATGGTTTACTGCTAAAAAACCAACAAAGACAAAATTACACTTAAGAAGAAATCATTTCCCATAGTCCATACATTAGTTTCCACAGTTCTGCTAGACTCAAAGGTGATTTAATCTCCAGTCAAACTGCATTTTAAAAACTCAAACAATGGCTTTTCTCTTGACTTTTTCCCCTCAGAACCGCTATGCTATTCTGTAATGCCTTTACCTATTTTTGTCTAGTTTGTTTGCTTGACTGCTTTTGTAGAGTTGACAACTGAAGGCAAAGCTCTCTCACAAGAGCCCAGGATTCTGAGCTCACCAGCAGCAAGGGGCTCCAACATACTGAATCTGACTTGCACAAGGGAATGAAACTAACCTAAAAGTAGGTATGTAATGCTGGTGGTGTTTGGTAATTGAAATAAATTTTTTTTAAATCACTGTTTTTTTGTTGTTGTTAAAGCTTTGCTAGCTATTCCACTAACATCACCATAAATTTTCATGGTTTGTCTGCCACCTTCAATATATCTGACACTACCTCCATAATGAAGCTTATGAAAGAAAATGACTACATCGTTTGTGTGCATCAATTTCAAGTATTAACAATCCTTGATTAAGACTACTGTTATATTTACATGCCAAAAAACACATTTTGACATACACAGACACCATCCTCCTTGTGTGTGGTTAACAAGAAATGTGATCTAAGTTGAAGACAAAAATAAAAGGCACAACCTAAGAGGAAAATGCCTGCTCCAAATTGTTTACTGAAAGAAACAGAGGCTCAGCAAGATTAACTATTCGAATTTGAACTGAGAGAGTTAAAGAGTTATTAGAAAGCATTCCATTTCCAAAAAGGATAAGGAGCACAGATGCTCCACTCGACCCTCTTTTCAATGATCCTAGCCAAGTTTGAAGGCCATGAGAAGGAATAAGCAGATGGTTCAATGTGAGTAAGTCAAAAGGAAGTTGCATTTGCCTTATTCAGCTTCCTAGCAACTAGACCGAATGATGCCAAGAAAGCCAGCCGGCTCTATGGAGAAACACTGCAGGATACTTGGAACCCAGTGGTCAGAGAGCAGAGAGAAGGCCTCCAGACACCCTCATCTGGCAAAACCAATCCTATGCCTACTGATTACCCACACTTTCTGCCTCACTGGGACCTCCCATTTCACTTGCCCTTTCTGCTCCAACCTACCTGGCCATGCTAACGTCAACCACCTGACTTACTTGAAACTCCTTTCAAGACCTATCAAACTCTGGTAACATCAGATGAACAGTCTGGCCCAGCCATCAAAGAGTAACTTCCCATTTCTTCACGGGAGGGAAGGTACTATGCACTCTTAATGCACCTCAGCCAGTTGGACAAAGGATTCGGCAGGTCAAAAGGCCTGAGCTCAAATAGTGCAGTGCAAGCATAGAGAAAGGCAGGCACATACACCAGCTAGGATCCCAGAAGCCTGAGAAACAGCCCTCTGGGAGTCATGTGTTCCTAGTCTTCTAGTATCCTAGAAGACTAGGTATCCTAGAGGCTGGTGATTCCAGAATGGGCTATCTAGAGGAATTAATACTCAGCAGGGACTGCCTTTGTGGAAGTACATAAATACGCACAGGAAATACATCGCATTACAATGCAAATGACCTAAGTAAGGCTTGGACATTATTAAACATTGCTAGGTCACCCTAAGTCCTGGCTATGACACTGTATGTTGTCATATTCTGTGGACTCCCTCTAACTGGTGGTACCATTAAAACCAGTTCCTCTCCTATTCACTCAGTTGGTCATATGTCAACCATTGTCAAACAGAAAATGGAACTTATAATTACAAATATGTCTTGGGAGATAAACACAGTTCCCCAGATGGTCAATGAAGATGTTTTCAATGCATTACATTTACACCTTGAAGCAACCATGCAAGGTGAGGAATATCAACCTCCCCACCCACACTTTTTAAAAACAGATGAGGAAACTGAGGGTCCAGTCACATGACTTGTCACACAGCTAAGCTGTAAAGCCCAAATTCAAATCCAAGTCTGTCTGACTCTAAAACCCTTTCAATACCTCATCGCCCAGGAACTCTGGGCTTAACTCAAGAAGTCTGCAAGTAAAAAATATTAGGAAAAGCAATGGAAAGACATGTAAAAGGGATAAAGATACCAAGACATTCTATATTTGTATGGAAAGTAAATTCACATAGGCATAAAAAATTCTCATTTGAGAACATAAGTGTAAGAGGACAGGCTCCTGAAATACCTGCCTGCCCACGCCTCTCCAGGCCAGGTTACAGCAGAAGAGCCCTGTGCCACACATCTGGGAGGACCCCCTAAGGAAGAGCAATTCAAAAGTCAAGTCTTAAGACTGAGATGAAAAGCAACCAGAACTCTCTTTTACTGTTGGTGGGAATGTAAAATGGTATGATCACCTCAGAAAACAGTTTGCCAGTTTCTTGAAAAGTAAAACATACATGCTCCAGCCAGTCCATTCCTAGATATTTAGCCAGTAAAAATGAAAACACATGTCTACAAAGACTTGTACACAGTGCTCACAGCAGCTTTATTTGTAATAGCCCAAAACTGGAAATGTCCATCAACAGGTGAATAAAAAAACAAATTGTGGAGTATCCATAAGTCTTAGCCTCCTCACGTTGCCGTAACAAAATATCATAGACTGAAAGGCTAAAACAACAGAAATTTATTTTATCAGAATTCTGGAGGCTGGAGTCTGGACTGGGAGGTCACATGGTTGAGTTCTGGTGAGGCTCTCTTCCTGGCTTATAGATGGCCTCTTGCTGTGTCCTCACATGGCCTTTTCTCAATATGTGCACATGGAGAGAGATCTTCCTCTCTTCTTTTTCTTATAAGACCACCAGTCTAACTGTATTAGGACCCCACCCTTTGATCTCATTTCCTCTTAATCACCTCCAGCCCTATCTCCAACTGCAGTCACACTGGGGGTTAGGGCATCAGCATATGAGTTACAGAACACAATTTAGTTCATAGTACCATAAAATGGAGCACTACTCGGCAATAAAGAAATGAAGTATCAATCCACCCAACAATATGAATGAACCTCAAAATAACTATGCTGAAAGAAACCACAAATTTCCCCTCCAAAAAAGGAGTATGTGCTATATGATCCCATTTAAATAACTTACTTGAAATTATATATAATATATACAAATTTATGTAAAATTTTGGAAAATGCAAATTAATCTACATGTAGCGATTAAAGTGACAGATCAATTGTTGCCTGGAAAGGGGAGTATCAAAGAGGAATATAAAAACTTGGGATGTGATAGTTATATTCATTATCTTGATTGTAATGCTGGTCTGACAACCACATGTCAAAACTCAAATTGTATATTTTAAACATATGCAGTGTATTATTATACATTAATATCACATATCAGTAATTATATGTTGATACAGCTGAAAAAAAGCCCAATCCCTCCTTCCTGCTTCATTTTTTGTCTTCTTTAACACCAATAGGTTTCAATGTATTTCAAGTTTTAGCACTGGTCAGAAATCACACAGATTCTTGTGTCCTCACATGGAGAGAACCTTACAGACTTATGGAAAAAGAGTCCATCAAAACACCTTCCTCACAATTTCAAATTAAATGTACATGTCACTCCCAAAGCCTCCAGGAATGGTAGTGCAATTATTTTTAACTTTTTACTTCTGTATCTCAATTACCTCAACTTATTAGACAGCTGATCTATTAAGTTCTCAGGGTAGGACCCACTGGGGATAAATTTTAAAATTAAAAAGATTTTTAAGCATCTACTCTTAGAAGTTCCATCATAATTTCAAATTCACTGAAAACAATTTGAATTTTAACACTCCTCTAGAGAAATTTCAATCAAGCCTCTGGAAATAGGAAAAGAGTAGCAACATGGCACTGTCAAAGGACACAAACCAACCAAAGTCAGATGTACTTCCATGATACTCTAAAAACAGGGGCCAATAAAAGACATACAGATGGCCAACAGACACATGAAAAGATGCTCCACATCACTAATCATCAGGGAAATGCAAATCAAAACCACAATGAGATATCACCTCACACTAGTCAGAATGGCTACTAGCAAAAAGATAAGAAATAATAATGTTGGTGAGGATGTGGAGAAAAGGGAACCATCCTACACTGTTAGTGGGAACGTAAACTGGTGCAGCCACAAGGAAAACAGTATGGAAATACCATATAAGCCAGCAAATCTGCTTCTGAGAATTTACCTCAGGAAAGCAAAATCACTAATTCAAAAAGTTATATGCATTTATGTTTACTGTAGCATTATATATTTATAATAACCAAGATACATAAACAACCTAAGTGTTCATCAATAGATGAATGGATAAAGAAACTGTGGCACATATACAATGGAATATTATTCAGCCACAAAAAAGAATGAAATCTTACATTTGTGACAATATGGATGGACCTAGATGGCAGTATGTTAAGTCAGACAGAGAAAGAAAAATACCATATGATTTCACTTATATTTGGAATTTAAAAAACAAAGGAACAAACAAAATAAAAATACTCTTAAACACAGAATAGGGAGCAGGGGACAGGCTAAATAGGTGAAGGGGATTAAGAGGTACAAACTTCCAGTTACAAAATAAATTAATCATGGGATGAAAGTACATCATAGGGAATATAGTCAATAATACTTTAATATCTTTGTATGATGACAGATGTAACTGAACTTATAGTGGCGAGCACTTAGTAATGTATATAATTGTTTAATCATGATGTACACCTGAAACCAATACAATATTATATATCAACTATATTTCAATTAAAAAAAGAACAGGGTCAATACACAGTTAAACATAGTGTTTTCATGAAATGCAAGAATCACACCCAACTGACTTGAAAACATGTCACACAAAAACCTCCACTTGAATGTCTAAAAAAGTTTTATTCATAATCACCCCAAACTGGTAGCAACCAAGACACCCTTTGACAGGTGAATAGATAAGCAAATTGTGGTACATCCATACAATGAATATTATATTATCAAGCTATAAA